ATGCATGCTGTAGAGTGGGCTGTGAGCTGTGTGTGTGTGGCGGTTATAGTGACAGTTAGCATACGAGTACCCGAGGTACTGTACCGGTCACGGGCATTTGGCGTGTGCCTTGCCTCATGGGCGAGAGAGACAGGCGCGTCGGTTAATTGGTGAGTAGGCACTGTCGTATTGTCCTTGTCGTTGTGGGGTGCGTGAATAATACAGTACTATTAGTAGTCGAATATTAAACAGGTTGGTTTAATATTCCTAGGCTAGAGTACGGGTATTGAGAAGTATTAACTCTCGTGCACGGCTGCACGGGAGGAGAGGCCGCCGGTTACTATAGTATAGGCCTTTGCCCGGCTGCGTTCATAGAGTATTCTATATGTTTAACCTCTGTGCTCACCCGGGGTGTGCACTGGTTATTCAACGTAACGTATAAGGCCGGCAGGCAGGGGTGGGGTTACCCCGTTGTCGTGTCTGAGGTGTGTGTCGCCCCTCGTCTCGCATGGTTGACCAACTCTACGACGCACCAAACCGGAACACGGCAGAACAGGTTATTGCGGGAGCGCAGTAGCTTCCAAAGCGCTCGGGTGGCTAGCGGGATCCGGGAGGCGACGATCACGGCCAATACAACGTCTCCGGGCACAACGGGTGAGTGATAGACCTAAGATTGTGTGCTAGCCATTTAGGTGTTGGCCGGTGGCGCCATCGGGTGTCGCCGGAAAGCACGAAACGCTACAGTACCATGCAGTTCTACGTCCCTTGCTTGGACTAATGATCATCGTTAATCATGTTCTTTACGACTCCAGCTGGGCGACACGGTCTTAGTTAGAAAGGGTTTGCTTATCTGTGTAATCTAGCCTTGATGTAGACGTGGCCAAAGAACCGTGCCTGCCCTGCGGTGTCGCTCTATATCGTAATGATTTTAGCTTCATTACATTCACCCTCGAGACCTTATCACCAAATTTCATTCTCCGACGACAAAATTTCCTTGTTTTTGGTCTAGTGTCATTCACCTCAAAATAATTTCATTCACCCTTGGGTGAACCATACACCAGTTTAAGAAGTACTGTGGTACACTACACAGGCAGTCCAGCTGCTGTGTAAATACACTGTGTTTATTTTTGACCAGTATAATTATTTTTATTGGTAGTATTCATTTATTATAAGTTTAATGTGCATCAGCGTATTATTTGTATCGTGCACCGTAGGACACGTTGGTCCTACGGGTCGTTGGTCGTGGGTAATTTAAAATTTTAAAAAAATTAATGAAAAAAAATGCATTAAAAATTTAATTTAAAAAAATTAATAAAAAATTAAATTACATTTTTTTAAATTAAAATTGAATTAATAACAAAATTTAATTTAAAAATTTAATTATGAAAAAAAATTTTAATTTAAAATTAAACATTAAATTAACAAACAATTAAAGAAAAAAGTACGTGTGCCTGCGTGCACCGTAGGACCAACGGCCCGTAGGACTAAAGAACTGTAATCTGTCTCTCTGCTGTCAAAGATCATATACAATAAGATGGGACACTTGACCTATATGTTGGGTCAAGCGCGACACTAGCGCCGACCAACGGTGAGTTAGGGTCACGAGCTGTATAAATGTCGGCGCACATTGTAAACGCAATGGCACAGTTGTCTGCTGTTAAGAAACGGGACGGTGCGTGGTGTTCCGCGATCAATTGCAGCAACAACAGCGGCAAGAACGTGGATTTGTCGTTCTTTCATTTCCCGCGAAATAAAGAAAGGTAAATAATAGCACTATGGGCATGTAATTGCTATGCAAATCTAAGGGAAAAGACGTACTGACAAGTACGACAATGACTGACTGACTGTACTGACTAGTACTGACTGTAAGTACGACAATCTGTGAAGTCTGCTGTGTAGTTTCGTTGTGTGCGACAGATTGATCGCTTAGTCATTGCAATTTCATCATTGTTTGAAAATGTATTGTTTGTTTCTTTTAGGTGTGATCTGTGGGTCCAAAACTCAAGGAGGGCCGACTTGCGCTGCAAAACACCGCCATATCTGTACATAAATTGCAGACTCTGTGCTTGCCATTTCGAGGACAGCCAGTTAATGAATGCTCAGTCCCATAATAAGTTAATTCCTGCAGCTGTCCCCACAATATTCAAAGTCCCGAATCCACCGAATTCCGTCACTGTTAAGAGAAAGCTACAATTGCGAATTACACACTCTGCTTCACTGTCACCAACTAACACTAGGCCCACTAATAGTACGTCGGATGCCGGTGTGTCAAATGCAAAAGGTAGAATCACCCAAAAAAAAAGAGTAGAAAAAATATTGTAGCCCTATGCAAACAAGTTTACCGGCTAAAACAGAGGATAGCCAAGACCGATAATTCAGTAAAATCGCAAGGGATCAATGCTGAGAAAAAAATAGAGTCGCTCATCTTCTCACTGTCAGAGTATCTTTCTGGCCCAGCCCTGCAGTTTGTTTCAAGGCAAATACGTGCAGCATACATGGTGTTCGCTGGTCACCTGCTGACAAGTCATTAGCATTAAGCCTATTGCACTCAAACCCCAAAACATATAGGCTTCTGAAAAAGACATTTAAACTGCCTTCTTTTAAGACTCCGAGACGAAGCATGCAAACAATTCAGATTTACCCTGGTTTTAGTGAGCAGCTGCTGAGTGCTTTTAAAATCAAAGTTAATGCTATGACACCACAGTCAAAACTGTGTTCATTAGTATTTGACGAGATGGCTATCAAGGAGGGTGTGACCTACAACAGAGAGAAGGACGAGATTGAAGGTTTTGAGGATTTTGGAACTCTGGGAAAGACAAAGTATGTACTATGTAGCGAATCATGCTACAGTATTCATGGCACGTGGTATAGCAAGCTCATGGAAGCAGCCCCTAGCTTATTTCCTATCGAGTGGACCGATAAGTCCAGCCGTACTTAAGCATGCTGTTGGACTGCATTGATAAAATTACTCATGTGGGTCTCATTTGCAAAATTGTTATTTGCGATCAGGGATCTAACAACAGGTCAATGATTTCAGGTCTGGGTGTCACTGTTGAAAACCCTTATTTCACTCAGAATGGCAATAAGGTATTTGTTCTCTACGATCCACCTCACTTGCTAAAGAATGTCAGAAATAATCTGAAAAAAACTGGCTTCAAAGTTGGTGACAACAACATTCTTTGGCAATATATTGCCAAATTCTATACATTTGATGCTGCGCTCCCCATTCGTATGGCACCCAAACTGACACAGAAGCACATTAATTTGCCAATGTTTTCAACCCTTAGTGTACGTCTGGCAATGCAAGTTCTGAGCCACTCGGTAGCAGCTGGTATAGCCACTCTCTGCTCGCTGGGAAAATTCCCTGATGAAGCAATACATAATCAGGACTACTGCAATATTCGCAGAGCAGATGGACCAGCTGTTCAATGTATTCAATAGTTGTAGTACTACGAGCACTCAAAAGATGAGGTATGGAATTTCCAAGGGATCATCCCACTGGCATTTTTTAAAAGACTGTCTCTCGTGGTTAACTACAGTGAAACCTTGCAAGGGCAAATCACTGCCATGTTTAGAGGGATGGAAATGGCAATCGTTTGTGTAACAAAACTGTGGGATGATTTAAATGAGAAACATGGGTTATCATATTTACTAACAAGCAGGCTAAACCAGGATTGTGTTGAAAACTTGTTTTCAGTAATTCGCGGAAAGGGGGCTAACAGGGACAATCCTGATTCAATGCAGTTTCGAACAGCACTAAGGCAAGTTATGGTGGACAGTGTATTATTAACTAGTGATAATAGCAACTGCAAGAAAGATGTTGATTCTTTTCTTTTCCACCTGACTTCTCACCCACATGATTCGTCCAGAAGTGATCACTCTGTCACCAACGAGGCCCCCAGTGACACAACCCAACCAATGTCACCATCAATGACAACGAACATTATTAGTATACATGAAGCAAATATCATGGTATATATTGCCGGGTATGTGTTAAGGAAATTGCATGAGAAAGTATGCAATACTTGCCAATCATTTTTGCGCGGAAACATCAGTGAGCATGATACATGCCATAATTTAATGGTTCAGAAGAACTATGGGGACACAGCGGGAGAGGGACTTTTTTCCTCCAGCCAGGAAGTGTTTCATGCTTGCACTTTACTGGAATGAGAATTTAGAGACGTAATTCCAAAGGTTATGCACATGAGTAAGGTACGCAGCCTTCTCATCCGTACCCTCATCATTTCTGTAGCGTGTGTTACGAGATATGGTTGCTACAATGCTAGTTAAAATATGATAAAATAGTACCATATAGTAATTATTTTGTGAATAATACTTCGATGAGACCAATTCGCTGCAATGTTTTTTTCTTGTTTCTATCACCCACAACGAAGCACATTCCTTCTTCTCTATATAAATTGCAAACCATTTTAATTATAATCCGAATTGTAATGCTGATCGATCTATATCAATTTGTTATCATTCTTCATTACAGCCCCTTGCATTATATTCAGGTGCACAAATATTCACTACTTTCTACATGCACGAATATTCTACACGGGGTTATGAGGTGGCATATTATATTTATATGAACCGTTACACTGACTCTGCGACTATGCTGGGCCCTGATGTGCACACG